CCAGCGTGTTGCCGGGGGGCAGCAAGCAGCCGACTTGCACATAGGTGCCCCCCTCACACCTGTATGACATGGAAGCCCGCTGGATGGTCGAGCCATCGACACACGGCTCCTCGGCGACGGACCGTTCAGCCACCGCCACCGTCATCGTCAGGTAAGTAATCCAAAAAGCACACACCCACCTCACCGTCGTCTTCTTTGACCATTGGTCGCCGTCCGCGTTCGTGAAGCTCCTGACATTCATGATCGGTAGCCGTCACAGTACACAGAGGCGGATGATGAAGAACGAACAGTGCCTTGTCGAGTGAAGAAAATTTATACTCGCTGTGCAGTGGGCGGCGAGGAAACTAGTTCTGGCGCTGGTGCGTTTCGGATCAGAAGAACTAATTAGTTGGAAGATAATTTCCCGCCGGCCGCAGTCGCCACTACTGTCGCTACTGCTGCCGCCGCCGCCGCTGCTGTCCTTTACTTCACTGGTGCCTGGTCCCTGCTACCCGACTGACCGACTGACCGACCAACCGACCGACCGTATGGTCGTTCTTGTTATCGAAGGCGAAGCGACACCGGGCCAACTGGCGCCGGCGAGAGCGCTGAGCAGACAACCGCCGGCCAATCAGCATCCGTGGCAGCCGCTCCAACCGTTTTGCCATCATTCATCAAGCAATGACGATCGTGGCGATGCTTTCCACGTCATAAACCGCTATTTGCACAACAGGCAGGTAAAAGCGGTTTTCGGGCCATTTCCGGCCACGGGCTGTCACACGGATGTGTGTCGCAATTTGACGAGGCGGCCACCGCCGATGACGGTGACTGCGATCATCATCGAGTGGCGGCGCCCCGCTCTGTGTGTCTGATCCGTAGTTTAAAAGTAAGTTTAAACTTTACGTTGCCATTCATGACCATCTTCCGAGTCTCATTCATATTGATCATTCTCACTATTCCATGAGAACAGTTTTTGCCAGTGCTGTTCGAGGATAACAAGCAATACCTCGTACTCTTCTAGCTTTCGCCGATAGCGATGAAAGGTTAGCCACAGCATAAATAATGAACCTTTCCAACTATCCATTCGCAGTCACCAGACTGATGACAATGGCTCATTGGTGATGATTGAAACTACAACTGTCACTCCTTTATCACGTGTTTGTTAATTAACATCACAAACTATTCGTACTCC